ATGTGTGTTATGTGTTGGAGTTAGAATTATGGTGTGTAGTAGCTCGCAGGCCTATCTTTGGGCACCGTTCTTGCATGTAGTTCAGTGCTTCAGGGAGACACATGCAGCTCACGTCCACGAGCTCATCAGGAGTCGCCCAGACTACAGATTCCTTCAGGCTCCATGCCTCTCTGTCTGCACACCGTGCTCCCCATCCTCATGACACTGGTGGTGCTCACCACCATACTTGTCACCTCATCTTACTCAATTCTCAAGGAAAACCAAAGGGAATGGAGAATTATTAGACCCATTAGACAGATGGGAAAAGTAACTCACCAGGATCACACAGCAGACAGAGCTGGGAGTTACAGTGAGAGTTTACATGTACACATGCAGCACCCCGTGTTTGTGCAGCCCCACAACTCACACCTGATGAGGCCCCTGATTCCCTCACATGTATTTCTCCCAGGTCCTCACTGTGCTGCCTCAGAGTCATGAGAAAACTAACTGGGCATGGTGGTCCAGGCACGCAGTTCCAGCACACAATCAGGAGGCAGGGGGATTGAGGGCTCCTGGACTATGGGATTGAGGAGGATTGAGGCAAGCCTGGACTAGGATATTGGCAATTGACCAAGGTCCTGATTGTTAAAGTAAACATAAAAACGAGCCGAGGTTGAAATGCAGCTAGCATTTCATGTTGGCTAGCACATGCAAGGTCCTGGGTTTGATGTCCAGTACTGAGAAAGAGAGAGATCACAATCTGATGCCCACACAGACCCCTTCCCTACCTTTCTGCAACTCTCCACCCCCAGCAGCTGAAGGCTGGGGTGGCCCAGGATTTGGACTGGTGACTCAGGCTGAATCATGGCCCAGCTGCTCCTTCATAACCCCTCCCACTTCTGCCCAGAGAGTCGATTTGGGAGGCAGGGGTGGGCCTTGGTGTTGTGAGGAACAGGGAGCAGGTTGGGGGATGGTAGGGGACAGAATCCTTAAGAAGTAGTGTAAAAGGGAAGCCATCCTCCTTATCCAGGAGCGTGGCTCCCTTTGTTTGGAAGTGGGCCAGGAGCTCACTGGCTAATCCCGAGCTCATTTTGACTCCCCTCCCCGATCCCATAGCCCTAATAAAATAACACAGACATTAACTATTCTAATTGATCACTCACAGTTAACCGTTCTCGCTCTGCAGTTTATAAAGCACCTTTTAATCTGGGGGTAGAAATGAACACCCTCACACTGAAGCAGAGGAAACCAAAGTTCCGAGAGCTTGTATGAGCTGGCCAACATCACGCTGTTGGTGATAGGACTGACACAGGGCAAAAGCCACAGGGCAAAAGCCCAGGCCTGTGGAAGGTAAGCACTGAGTAGCTGATGAGCAAAGGGCCTGGTGGAAATTCGATGGGTGGGGTGTGTGGGGTGATGTGTAGCAGCGGGAAAGGCCTGGGGTGTGGCCCTGGAGGGTACGATGAGGTATTAAAGGCAAACCGTGGTGTGGCATAGTTGGGCTAGGGCCAGGGTACTACTGAGAGGTGAGGCTTGTAGAGAATGCAAGATTGTTAAATTTTAATTTCCTTGTAATTAATGAATTATGGAATTATCTGTGCCTTCAAATCTTTCATTGTCAAAGACCAATACTCTAAGATCCAGAGCATGGAATTTCCCTGGAAAATGGTTGGTCTTGGAGACTTTGCTTCAGGCAATAAATAACCCCAGGCCTCTGTTAAAGCTACTGGAAAGCTTGGGTGAAATCCCCACCCTGCCCTTTCCAAGCCGCGAGGGACTCCACAAAGGCCTGCTGCTGCTTTCCACACTTTGCCATTTAACAGACATCTATGGGTGCTGGGCAGAGGGCAGAGGGTAGAGTGGGCTTCTGGAAACCTGGGGGCGGCGCTGAACAGGGAGTGGGTAACATCTCTTCCTTTCCCCCTGCCTGGGCTGTGTCTGGCCTTCCCCCACCCTCAGCCCAGGAGCCCGTTTCTAGGCAACGGGATGGATGCAGAGATGGTTCGGAGGGGAGAGAGCTAAAAATAGGGAAAGGGAGAAAACAAAAATAAAGTTCCAGAGAAATCCCTGAAGCCACATCACTGGGGCTGGGGGTGGGGAGACAGACAAATGGCATGATAAGGACAAGGGGACAGCCCCCAGCCCTTCACTAGGAATGAGGCGGTTTTCCAGCTAGCTGCTCAGCGGGAGAGCTGGTGTGGACACGCATGGTGAAGCAGTGAGAAGAAATGGCTTCAGAGGGATGGGAAATCTCGGAGGGTGGGGGAGAGAATGGAAGCAAACGGAGAGAAAGCCAGGGGGAGGCTGGGTACTTCGAGGGAGCTTGGGAGGCCTGGCAGGTCTCAGCCCCCTGACTGCACACTCTACCCGGAACATCCACTCTCTCCAGATAGCCTCCCCGTGTACCCCTTCATTTGGGTTTCACCTCAGACACTTGACCTGGCCAACTTATTTTTTTTTTAATTTTATGACTTTTTTTTTACATTTATTAATTTGTAAGTAAGGAGGCACGTTCATGGAGGCCAGGAAAGAGTTTTCTGAAGTTGGTTTCCTCCTACCTTATGAGTTCCAGGGATCAAACTCAGGTCACCAGGCTTGGCAGTAAGCATCTTTCCTGGCGATACTCTCACTGCTCAGTGATTTCCTTTTAATGTTGCCCGTCACCTGCAGACTTCTACCATATCCTTTTGTGTTTCTCCAAAACCTTGGGTTTATCTTTATCCTCTTTCTGTTTCTTTTCTTTTTGAGACAGTCAGGATCTTGCTATGTAGTACAGGCTGGCCTCAAACTCATGATCCCCCTGGCTCATCCCCACACCTGATGTTACTGACCACTCTGTGATCCTTGGGATTTGAGCTGTCACAGTTCCAGGATATCCTGAAAGCCCTCAATTGTAAGACCAGAGCCACGGTGCACATAGCACATCTGGACAACACCATGAGCACACATGTGAGTATAGCGTACATGTACATCCATCCCACTGGGGTAGTCATTATATACAGCTCAACAGACACAGTGTCACTACAGTCTCCGTGACACTGAACAAGTCTGCCATTCTACATTCCTGTTTCCACCTTTTCCTGTTATCCATATTTTTCTATTTGTCTCTTTTCAAAGCCAGAGAAAACAGGTTTTGGAAATTCCAAACGTCTTGGCCTTTGGAGTCAGGCATAGGGCTCAGTGTGGCTTTTGACATTTCTCAGCAATCACGCTTGGCTAGGTAGCTTGCCTCTCTAATTCCTCTTCTTCCAATGGAGTCGAGGTTGTAGCAATGAAGTATAGGGAGTTGGTTTTAAGTGAAATTAGTGAAAATAAGTACCACATGCTTGGGAGCTTGGGAAATGGCTCAGATCCCATGAGCTGGAGGCACACACATACACATACACACAGAGTCACTGGACATCGGCTGGCATCTTCTGCTGACACTTCTGGACCTATGCCTGGAGTGCATTTCATTTAAAGGGACTCTGGCAGGTGAGAATGTTGATCTCTAAGCAGAATCATTCTCAGTGGGGCCAGGTGTAGGATTTGGCGCGTAGGAAGAAGGAAATAAATCTTTTCACAGGCCAGATGGTAAACCTAGTTTTGACATCTAAAAACAGGGATCAGGGGCTGGATATAGTGGTAGAGCCAATAAATAAGGGGTTCAAGTGCTGGTTTACAGATAACAGCGTTCTCTCTGTCTCTCTCTTTCTTTCTCTCTCTCTCTCTCTCTCTCTCTCTCTCTCTCTCTCACACACACACACACACACAGTGTGCACGCTGGATGTAATAAAATCAGGACAGACAGGGCTGGTGACCAAATGGAAAGGTGTGCACAAACCAAGGGTATTCAAACTTAGAAAATTATATCGTGCTGTAAATTAATCGTATCTAAGCCAAAATTCAGCCGGAAGCTCATGCACTTGTAGTCTCTCCAGAATACAGCAGGTTGTAGGTAGTGTGGTAATTGAGCCAAAAGGGGCTTCTAGCTCCTATTACTCATCCAAGCCCACCAGTTTGTTTCACAAGGTCATCTGTTAGCTGCTTTCTCCTTCCAGACATGAAGGCCCAGGTGACCAAAACACAGTGGTCTCCCGTAGGGTTATTGGCTTTCCCAGACTCGCCATTGTCCCTCCAAGGACTCTCGGGAAAGAAGTTGACTGAATAGAGTAAGCTGATTCAAGATGATGTTGAGGGGACTTCTTTGCAGGAAACCAGACTATGGCTCTTGCGCAGGGAACGCAGACCTGACCGGGATTCTACTGCAATTGGAAACGCCGCACTGACTGGGGCGGAGCCTGTGCCAATAAAGGCGTTTTCCTACTTGCAGAGGCGGAGCCTCCACGCATTGCGGATCTTATCGAGGTTCCCAGTTTACTCTGAGTCGGCGGGGGCCCCCTAGTGCTGATCGTGGTGTGCTCCCGGTGTCTGGCGGGCTTCCCAGTATTCTGCAGACCCTCTCCTACTCCATCTGAAATCTCAAACTTTCAGTGAGAGGAGAGTACCGCCTGCAGGGAGCTCTGCCCTCTCTGGGCCGATGCTTCCAACGGTTTTGTTTGCGTTGGGCGGGTGTGCGTAAATGTGTGTGGACAGGACTGGAGTGGGAGGGGTCTGCCAACGGTTAACGACGTCTTTCTGCGGCGCGTCTGCAACCAGGCCAGAGAGCTCAGGTCTGCATGTGCGATCTGGCCTTGGTGCTGACACTCGAGCTCGCGCGTAGAGACTGGCGCGCGTTCACGCGCGTGCATGCGTATTCATGCCGGTGCGGTCCTTGCTTCTTTTGGTCCTGCACTCCCTTTCCCGCCAGGAGGTGGCGCCTGATGCTAACTTCCCACCACCCAGTCAACTTCAATCTCAGTGTGCGTGGCGGTGGGGGCAATCACCCTCTGGGTCGTGGGCCAGCGTGGAGATGGATAAGCTGAGATCCCAGGTAGTCAGCGATGTACCTGGGTGGCTACCTGGGTTTAGTGTGTCAGAGTTCAAGGAGCGAAGGGGTAGTCTGCGGCCCAGAAGCCCAATGCTGCCTAGGCGGCGCCAGCTACAGACAGATTGGCTTTATTCATGGACACACTGGGGAGCGGCTTGGCCGCCCACCCGGGACACGCTCACACGGTGGGTGGGGGACTCTCCATGCCACAATCACAACATACGACGCCCGCGCTCGGACCGAGCGGGCTGAGGGAGGGGGCATGGCACGACCTGGCTCCTGATTTGGGTTAAAAAGAAAACATTTTAGGGGTCGAAGTGGGGCTGCCCGGGGGCCCCTTGGAGAACCTCTGTTAGGATGGGGAAGGAGCCATAGTTTTCCCATCTTGGTTTAAAAATACATAGAACATGCTACATCCGAGCAGACACTGGACCAGATGGAGGGTGAGGGGTAACACTGGTAGGGCGGGGCTCCCAGCCGGACCTCTCTGCCCGACTCCAGTCCACGCCTCAGGGATGAACGCGGGCAGGTAGGACAGACAGAAGGGCAGGGCAGACACTAACACAGGCCCTGAGGAAGTGCCTCGGAGCCGAAGGAAGATCTTGTGTTTGCAAGAAAAGGTAGAAGGACAGCCCTGGCTCTGGGGGGGTGAGGAATGGGGCGGGGACAGGGAAGGAATTGTGCTGCTGGTGCGGGCCCTCCTGGACCCTTACGCCTCTGGCTCGTATTCTTGATATTCCTCCTGCATCAGAGGGAGGGGTGGAACAGAGAAGAGCACAAAGGAAGGGTTGGAGACGGAGTGGTCAAGTGCAGTCTGCCCACATCCCTTCTCATCAAGGAGGAACAATGTTTGTCCCACCCTCTGGGCAGGGAGAAACATGGAGTTGGGGCCAGCTGAGATATTCCAAGGCAGTTGTGCCTGGGGGCCTGGCGTTAGGTGCCATCTGCCATCTGCCATCTGCCCTCTTCTTCTGCCTCCTGGACCCTGAGTTATTGAAGCCTCCCCTGCCGCCAGCCTAGCTTTATTATGCTAGGGACCACCCACCTAGCTAGAGGTGGCTTCAGTCTTCAGGGGTGCCCGCCCCCAGCCCTGCTGCCCCTCACCTGGGGTGAGTCCTCATAACTTTCCCCTTCCGGCTCCATCAGAGGCTCAATCAGGGGCTCCTCAGCGGCTTCTTGGGCCACCTCCTCTGGCTGTGAACAGAGAGAGGCAGGGTTGTGTGGGCAGCTGGACAGCCCTTAAAAATCCCATGAAGGTGTGCTACTGGTTGCTTGGAAGTGCTAGGGTGGCTTGGCAATGCCAGGAATGTCAGGTGATTAGTTTATTTGGAGGTCTTAGAAGAGAGAGGTGAGATGGACCTGTGGACGGTGAATTCCCAGCCAATCATCAGGGGAAGCTGGAGTGGGGAGAGAGAGAGAGAGAGAGAGAGAGAGAGCGAGCTCTGTGCCCCTCCGCCCACCACCTGACAGTCTCTACCCCTGTCACTGAGACTGGATAGATGGGAAGACAGAACAAGGCTCTCTGTTTAGGCACAAACTGCTAGACTGACTGTAGGACCCAGGAGAGAACTCTGGAAGCTCCCCTCCAGGGCAGAAGGGAACTGGAGGCTCAGGTATGGGGCTGGAAAGGGGCTCTTAGTGGTTCCCTCCACTGCCTCCACCCATCCCTCCCTCCCCCAGGGCCGAGCTTGGCCTGATTTCTTCACTGTAGCTATTTTAAGATAAGCTGGAAGCAACAGCTCATGGTGTTGCTTGGATGTGTGAGCTAAGACTCTCCCCTCCCCCCTGCATCTGCTGCCCAGATGGGCACAGACCAATGAGCATGCATGTAGAGGTCTGCTAGACACATGGTTGGCCGCCTGCAAATCAGCACATATATGCAAACACATGATAACTTGGGGTGTATGCATGGCTGTAGAAGACCACATGTGGGCTGGCACGTGACTAGGAGGACCCTGGAGCTGTGGTACCGAGAAGTTGGCCCTTTCAGTTGCCTTAGCCCCTTGGAGTATTGTCTACTGCTTCTGTGGGTACAGAGTTTTACATCTCCTGTAAATGAGGGTGCTGGTTCATTCCTCTCTTTGTGGAGATGACCAAAGCAATGACAAATGCTACTTTGTCCCAAGTCACTCAGCTGTGTTCAGAACCTAGGAAAGACACAGAGTTTAAAGTCCCAGCTCAAGGCCTTGAAGGTATAGTTTCGGGCTAGAATGTGTGTCTGGAGTGCTAAAACCTTGGGCTCAATCGGCAGCACCCCTGTCCACAAATGAGCTCCAACTCAAGCCCCTTGTCTGGAAATGAACGCAGCAGGATGGTAGAATGCTCTGGGCGTGTGGTCTAACCACAGTGGAGCACGGCCCAGCGGGAATGGAGAGTCACTGCTCTCCATTCTCAAACAGCGGCAGTCTTAGAAGTCACGCTGTAGAGTAGGACAATCAGAATGCAGAGGAGCACGCGCTCCTCGAGATGACATGCACATGGGATAAAAAGCACCCAACCAGTTTGCAGTGATGGAAGTCAGGAAGCAGGTACCCTTAGATGGTGGGTGGGTGGGTGGGGTAGGCAGGGCCTCCACAGAAGGAAGCTAAGTGAGCACACAAGGTGCAGTGTTTGGGAGACACTGCTCCATGAACCAGGCATGATCCACAGCCCCATGTAGGCCTGGCTAGGATAAGGAACTTTAAAGCCAGCATAGTGCAGAAATTCTGGAGGTGTTTTGTGTCTTGAACTGGCTGCTGGCTTCATTGGGACATCTCTTTCTAAAGTGTCTTTCTTTGGGGGGGGGGCGGGGTAGTTGAAGCAGCCTTTAAAAAACAGATGTATTTTGTGCTCTTGATCTCTCGTCTTGCTCCTGCTCCCTCTCCCCTCCATTTCGCTCCCCCTTCTCTCTCCACATGCTCATGGCTGGCCTCTACTCCCCCCCCCACTCTCATCTCTGTCTCTGCCTCTCGACTCCCTTCCCCATGCCCTGAATAAACTCTATTCTATACTATTAAAAGAAAATATGCATTTTTATTTTATGTGTATGAGTGCTTGTCACTCATGGATGTATATGTGTGTCATATGCGTATGTCTGTGTACCCTGTGTATGCCTGGTGTCTAAAGAGGAAAGAAGAGGGCACTGTATTTACTGTATCCCTTGGGACTTGAGTTACAGATGGCTGTGAGCTATGATGTCGACCATGGGAACCTTACTCAGGTGCTCTGCAAGAGCAACACGTGCATTTAACTGCCGGGCCATCTCTCCAGTCGCACGGATGGAGTCTTGTACAGCCCTGGCAGCCCCTGTGTTTGCTGCCAACCTCATCATGGAGCATTCACTGTTTGTGGGCCAGGCTTTCTATCTCTGGAGCTCTCAAGGTGTGGTCTCTGGGACTGCAGCACTAAGGTCCCCTGTGTACTTCATCTTCTCACTTCTGCCCCAGGACCTTTGTGTTTCCTGTTCAAAACGGCTTGGAATACTGTTCTGGGACATCTTAGGGCTGTGTCTCCTCAAATGGCATCTCCCAGGAAACCTCTCCTGGCTCAAGTAGACCTGTCACAGTGTTACCCCCTTTCCCCCATAGTGTTCTCTTCTTCACTGCACACACATGCCCTGTCTGACATCATCATATGCACTGGCTGGCTTTGCACTGTGCTCTTACTGCCTGGGTAGCATGCATGGAGCCCACTGTGGGGCCACTAGGAACAAATCTTCACTGATATAGACATCCAGTGAATGAAAGGAGCAAGCAGCGGCATGTGCAGACGTGGTCAGGAATATCTGGAGTCATGTTGCTAAGTGGGCTATGCACTGACAGTCCCTTCTGGGTCCCTGTGCAGGGAGCATGGCATATATAGACACCGGCCCACAGCTTCATTTTTAGCTGAGTCTATAGACTTATAGGAAGGGAGTCAAGCAAGCTAGTGTTCCAAGCTGGAGGCAGGTGGGTGGAGTGGACAGTGGCAGGTGTGTGTGCCTGGTGTGTGTGACACGTGGTAAGGGGCCACTTGCCTTCAGGTCTGTAGGGAACTCCTCCTTCTTCACCAGACCTGTGGCTGCTGCGATGTTCCCAGCCCCCGAGAATACAGCTCCACCCAGATGCGATGCCTGCTCCTTGGTTTTCTCAGCCACTGGAGCAGGGAGGGGTTTTGGAGAAGGGTTCAGTGCCAGGGGCCCCCACATTGTGTCCCAGAGCCTTCCCTCTCCAGGGGCAACCCCACACAGAAGCCTCAGGAGTCCCCATGCCCCTCACCCCCATAAAGCATTAGGACTGGTCTGATACCTGAGGCCACACCTTGTACCACTCCCTCTTTGGTCTTGCTTCCTATAGGAAGAAAGAGGAGCACAGTTAAGGACTCTGAACACAGGGAACAGAGATTCCAACCTAACACTGGGGCTGTACAGTAAGCAGAGGACCCAGGTAGCAATGAGTCTCTGGAACCCCTCCATGAACCCCTCTATCCACAACTCTCACCCCCATGCTAACTCAGTCCTCTCCCCCCACCCCCGAGACAGGATTTTTCTATGTAGTCCTGGCTGTCCTGGAACTCACTCTGTAGACCAGACTGGCCTCAAACTCAGAAATCCACCTGCCTCTGCCTCCCAAGTGCTGGGATTAAAGGTGTGTGCCACCACTGCCTGGCACACTCAGTCCTTATACATAATTTCTCAGGCCTCTGGTCCGCTGCCCTAGTACCCACACCCTCCCAGTGGAGGCCGGCTGAGTACCAGGGTAAAGCTCTCAGCATCTCCTGGTTTACCATTTGGGCTGTGATGGTTGTGAGGTGTTGTTCTTTCTTCATAGTTGGAGAACAGAAGCATAGTAAGAGCCCTGCAGTTAGCAGCTGGGTGAGCAATCAAGGTCGACTTGAAACTCCTGCTCCCAGCTACTGTGTAGCCCAGGATGGGAGGCAGCAATGCTAGGAGGAACAGCCATGCCCTTGCCCCATGACCTGCACCTCGCTGCATTTGTGCTAGTCTGTCTCCTCCAAACAAGGGGCCAGCTCCTCCTCTGGGTAAGGTGGAGAGTGTTAAGTAGAGGCGAGTCTAAAAGTGATGTTCAGATCGTAGAAGGCACCCATGCCATTGGCTGGTCTTCACCAGGATCATGGGTTAGCATTGGAAGACGCAAGAAGGGTATACATCCTCCAGGGCCTGGGGAATCTGTCTCGTGAAGACTTAGCAACCAAAGGCTGGTGAGCCTGGGCTAAGACCACCACAGAATGGATGAGGCTATGTTAGCTACAGGTAAGGGTGAGACCAGGGTGGGAGAAGTGTGCACAAAGCTAAGGCCAACAAGAATCTGGAGGCATAGGGACGGGAGTCTCCCTGTATGCTGTTCGTTAACTCACCAGCACATTGTCTGCACATTTTATGTGCAAGGCCTGGGCCAATGGCTCATTCTCTGTCCTTGATTAGTAGGAAAAGAATATTTAGACTCCAGGGACTGCAAGAGGTAGGGACAGTGTCGGGGCCTTGAGAAATGGGGGACACGTGAGTGTTCTAAAAGGAGAGTAGAAAGGAGGAACTCAAAAGCAGGCAGGCAAGACTGCACTTGAGGACCAGGGCACCAGGTATGTATGGTAAAAACCATGCTGGGGATGTAGTTGTAGTGGACATGATGGGTACCTCCTGCAAGACTATAGGAGCTGAGGCTACAACACAGAGGTCCCTGGGCAAAGGAAGAAGGTAGGAAGTACCTACCAGGGGGAAAGACAGAAAGATGCCACCACGGCTGGGAGCCTATTAACAGAGAGACAATAATGTTGTCCCAGGGATTTAAGGAAGGATAGGAAGGAGGAAGGGGTAAAGAAGGAAGGCCAAGGCCTTGGCTGGGCTGATGTGTGCCTAAGACACTCTTCTGCTGGGCTTAATTACTACTGCTCTTGTCTCAGGTGGCCTCCCTGCAATTTGCTCGGTCCCCGAAGGTCGGAGGGACTGTTCTGAACTAGTGAGAGCATGTCAACCTTTCACTTGCAGCCTCTAACGGCAATCACAAGGATGCTTCAGCCTGGCCTACAAGGTCTTCTTGTGGATCGGTTCTTGACGGTCCATCTGAGCTCTTCCTCCAGCATGACTCCTGCCCTCTGCTTTTCCGGTCCATTCTATGGTCTTTGCATCCTGCCTCTCTGCCTTTCCAGGCTCCTTAGTGTTCAGGGCTGGTCCTGCGCACTACCTGCCAGTAGCTCCCCTTTTTGCTCTCTTCCCCCAAATGATCCCCACACTTGCTGCTTGATGGCAGACCCTACCCCTGAAATGCTGTGCCTTGCCATGTGTCCTCTCAGCATCCACACAACGCTCGACACACAGTATGCTTTTAATGGTCACAATCCAAGCCTGCAAATGACCTTGGACAAAACGTCCAGTTCTCTTATGCTTTTTCCACAAGAGCAAGCCCAGACCTATGATCTGAGCTCTGAAACAAGTCAGTAAGCTTCCATTTCCAGCCGTTTTCTCTCTCGTTATGGGAATAACCCTACAAACTCCCCTTTCACACTTTGGGTGAGAGATATTAACCTCCTGACCTTTGTCCTGATACCAGCTGCTAGCTGCCAGGAGGATGAACTGGAGAGACTGCCAAGGTAAAACCACAGGCTGTGTGTGTGTGTGTGTGTGTGTGTGTGTGCATGGGGTGACGATGATAGCTGGAGAGAGCCCGCCAATAACCAGGGAAGGTGGGGCTTTCCAGATGGATTCCTACTCGGGCTTTGGGCTTTAGCAGCTGTGTGACCTTGGGCAGAGTGGTTAACAGAGGGCCCCAGAGTCGCTGATCTGTAGACTAGCCCAGGAATGTCAGATGCTGTGGCATTTCATTGCACTTGGCCTCAAGTAAAGGTTCCCCATCAGGTCACTATTAATAGGCATGTCGGGGGTAAGAAAAAGGAAACTCTGACAAGCTCACTACCGTGGTCCCTGGTCTTTCATTTGAGCATCATCTCCACCAGCCCGTCCCCACCTCCCGGTTCCATGGACTGGCTGTGTCCCCAGTGACCCCTATTGACCTCGCCCATCTGCTGACTCATATTCTCATGCCCAGACCCCTCAATCACTCTGACAACCCTTCCTGGTACCCTCAGAAGACACCCAGCCCTGCAGCCCCTTGCCCACCAACGTAGAGGACGCCTTCTTTGGTCTTCTCTGCCGCCTCGGTGACCCCCTGCTTGGTTTTCTCAGCTGCAGCCACAACGCCCTCCTTGGCCATGGACAGGCCCTTCATGAACACGTCCATCCTGGCGGCCTGGGGAAGGCGAACACACAAGTGCCAGGGCGCTGGCTCTGCACCCTTTCTCGGGTCCTCCCTAGGGACCTGGTGCCCCCTCCCTCCCTTGCTCAGACTTGGCGCGCTTCTGGGCCAGGAGCCCCCTCCTACCCTCTCCACTCCCTAGCTCTAGGCCTCAGAGCTATGCTGCGGTGAGTCCTAGCGTCCTTGAAACCCCGGGACGCGGGAGGGGCCAGCACCTCAGTTATCCGGAGATCTGCAACCTGCAGGCCCGCAGAACCGGAAGCTAGGCACGGGCGCGAACACCAGGGCCTGTCTGTACACACAACAGTCACACGGTCTGCATACAAACACACATCATGGACATGCTCACGTGCACACAGAGAACACGGGGCGTTCAGAAGCGCATGGACAGTCCGACACTTGGGCACGGACGCACGTCCGCACGTCCACCCAGACTAGCAATCAGAGGGGACAGACACGCATCCTGCAGTGCACCTGCCTGCGCCCGCTCAGCGCTTTCCATCTCTGTGCCCACGTTTCTCCCCAGGGCAATCTCCATCCTGCTCCTCCTTACCCCACATCCCTCTAGATCCCCAGTTCCATCCACTTTCCGGAGCCTCACCTGGGTTTCGGGGCCGGGCTGGGGGATGGAGCTGTGGTGGCGACAGCGGCGGCTACTGCAGGCAGACGCGCGGGGCTGGGCTACACTGGGTAGGGGTGGGCTCGGGGCCAATGGGGTCTTGCCGTGGTCAGGCTCTTGAGTCACCCTCCCTGAGCTGGAGCGCAGTAGTGCTCCGGCCTCGGGTGTTCTGCCACCAAGGATGCTACTCGCGCGCTCCGGCTCCACTCCGGCTCCTGCTCCAGCGCTGCGGCAGCTCTGAGCTCAGCACTCCCCCCTGGTGGCCGCGCCGCCCCCTCCGCCTGACTGACAGGGGGCGGGGAGCGTGACATCTCCCCAGAGCAGGCGAGCCTCCAGGGGAGGGCCTCTGACGTGCAGCCGGGGACCCTAGTGCTGGAGACGTGTAGTCTTTGAGGAGGGTGGGAGGGGGCAATGCGGCGAGCAAGGACTGGGAAAGAAAAGATGCGGTTGGCCTGGGAGTTCAGATAGATTCGAATCCTAGCTGCGTCTGTTAGTAACTGTGGGATCTTGAACTGCCTACCTCACCTTTTGAAACGCCAGATTCCTCTTCTGTAGAACCAAGGAGAGAGTCAACACCTGTCTAGGCAGCGCTTGGATGGATGGCGAAGGTTCGAGGGTGGAAAGAGTGCTAAAGAAAAGCAGGGTTCGCATCTCAGGGAGATGCCGCGGGTATGCGCTCATGGCCACGCAGAGATAAGAGGCAGGAAACAAAATAAATGTATCCACACTTGAACCAGGCAGGGTTACTTCAGCCTGTGAGAGGAGTTAGGAAGACAGAGAAATGCTGATGTAAGAAACGGACTTGAGATAGGGTAGGTAGACAGCGAAGGCCTCTCCCGAGAAACTGAATAGAAAGATCCGGGAGACGCAACAAGGTAGGCCTAGACAGGCGTGGGTGAGATCCACAGAACCTCAAAGGCAAAGGCCCGGAGGCATCACCAAGCCGAGGGGCAGTCGGGATGCAGTGCAACCTAGAACGGGTGCTGAAGAGGACCCAGACAAGAACACTGTGGCTTATGGGAGTGGGAGGGGATTCCAGACGCACAGCAGGACCTCAGTCAGTTCTATGAAGGAATTATGCCCACGCAGATGTGGAATCCCAGATGAAAGGAACCCTGCCGAGCTCAGGGAGTCCGGTAAAGAAGTAAAAAGGAGGTGGCACATAGTTTGGGGCTTGGGGGCTGGGTGAGGTTTTCCCTCAGGAACAAGATCAGAAGAGCCTTTTTTTTTTTTTTAAGCTAAGGATATAACACAGGCGAAGGCAGTGGCAACGGAAGCGCTGGGCGTTTGAGCGATGAGGTGTGCCAGCGGCAGACAGTAGGGCATGGGCGAGAAAATGCTCGTGGCTGTGGTAGGGCTGTAAGCTGGCAGAGGCTTTTAGAAGGCCAGTTTGGCAGTGTTTCCTAGGACTGTAAATGCGCGCTCCTTTTGGATCAGCAGCGCCCCTTCCAGGAACGCGCCCTGTGGACCTCTATTCTCGTGTGTGCACACTGACACGTGTACAGGCACGGTCATCGTAGAAAACACTGACAATGTTCTAAACGTCCTCTTAGAGGTCTGATTACTTCGTTTATAGCACATCCACCCAGTGGCACAGCGTGATGATGTGGTCAGGAGCCATGAGCTGGCACCCCCATGTACCAACACACTAATGAATCAAGATGGCGTCAGTGAGAAGCGGTGCAAAGATTGTAGGTGTTGAACAAGCTACTTTCGATACATAGAAAATTATATTACATACTTAGATGTTTAACAACTTATATGTAAGAATATAGTTTTATGCATATCAATACATATTATAAGAATTAGTATATATTAAATATATGTGCTTATGTGCACACTATGTATTTATCACAGACTATATGTATTATATACAGGCATGTTCCATACAAATATACACATATAGTTCACCTTCCCTATCAAAGGGTTCTATAACCTTAGATTCAACCAACAACTAATCAAGAAGACCAGCTGGAGAGATGGCCCAGTGACTGTTCTTTCAGAGGATCAGAGTTCAATTCCCAGCACCCTCATGAGGCTGCTCACCACCAGTTGTAATTCCAGCTGCAGGGAATCTTCTGGTCTCCACATGCCTGTGGAGTGTGCTCATGTGTGCAGACTCACATGTATATGTATATATACACACATACATATATAATTTTAAAAAATTAAAGCAAATTTTAAATAAGTAAAAAAATTGTGTAAACAAACACTATCTATGCTGAACATACATACTCCCCAAATCATCCTATGTCTTGCTGTTTCCTGCTCTGAGGCACAAATAACTCTCATACTTCCTGGGGTGTCCAGCACCAATAGAGCAAGCACCTGACCACAGCCCTGGTGTCCGGGAAGCCCTCGTGGCCTGCTACACAGTGGGCTCAGCATCACTTCAGGCTGTATGGTGTCTGTGCTGCTTTCTATCTTCCCAGAGATGGAGCCACTTGGTGATTGCTCGTAGATGCCTCAGATGTTAGATGAGCTGGTTAGAGATTCTGCAGCCTGCATGTAGAATTCTGAATGCTGGTAAGATGAAGAGCACAGGAAATCAGGTCAAGGCGGGGGGTGGGGGGGGGACAGAGATGGAAAGTTATTTGTGCCTCAGAGTAGGAAAAAGCAAGACAGAGGATGATTTGGGGAGTTTGTGATTTTGTTTTTTCTTTGAGATAAGGTCTCACTATAAAGCCCAGGCTGGATCAAACTTTCAGAGATTCGCCTGCCTCTGCCTCCTGAGTGCTGGGATTAAAGGGATGCCTGACTAAATTTCTACTGTTTAAGTTAGTTTAAGGGTACAGTCCCTCGTGGTGTGGAGGCAGGCACGGCAATGAGAGCTGGAGGCCCCTGGTCACATAGCCTCCACAGCAAAGAGCATGTAGCCAGAGAAGATGTGATAGAAGATGGGGACCAGAAACATGTGGGAGCAGTGTGTGGCCACAGAGATGGGGCTCACCCTCTCCAGAGAGCCAACACAGCAGAGCTGGTAGGTTGTGGTGTGGGGCAAAGCTTTCTCAGCAAGACCTGGCCATTGCCATCTCAAAATCAGAGCAGTACTCACAAGACCCTCCTAAGCCTGGGCCTACTAACATTTTCTTGTCTAAGGGCAGATGAGGAGGTCACCAGACAGTGACTCTCTCCCTGTCATGTCCCCAGCTGCACATGGTCTTCCTGTAGTCTCTGAAGCCCTAAAGTAATAGTAGGTGGAAGGTTGGTTGGTGGGTTTGGTGTGCTCTTCTATATCGTGGCTGTTTGGGGGCTACCCACCCTCCTGTAGATAAGTCCAATAAACCCATTAGTTCATGAGCTGGACACAGTGGACTTGTCTTTAGTCTGTCATTGGTGTTCTATCTGTCAGATAAGTGTGTTTTTTTTTAAAAAAAGATTTTATTTATTTAATGTATTTGAATACACTGTAGCTCTCTTCAGATACACCAGAATCTGTTACAAATGGTTGCTAGCCACCACATGGTTGCTAGGAATTGAACTCAGGACCTCTGGAAGAGCAGTCCATGCTCCTAACCACTGAGCCATCTCACCAGCCCCCTCAAGTATGTATTCTATTTGCTGATGAATAGTTCAATGAGGGGTTCTCAGTGCTAAGAAGGATATAAAAGGAGGGGTGGGCTGGAGAGTGCCTGGGGACAGCAAGCCTCTTTAGAGAGGGTGGGCAGGAGCTGACATTTGAGCCAAGCTCTGAAGGATACAGAGGGAAAATCAATTGTCTAAAGAGATTTGAGGTTGTAGGTGTAGCTCTGTGGATAGAGAGGGCTGGCTTAGCATACATGGGATGCTGGGGTTCATCTCCAGCACCCTATAAATAAGGGGTGGTGGCAAACACCTGCAATCCCAGTGCACATGTGGAAGCAGTGAGATCAGAATGTGGGATTGTCTCCTGCTACATAGCAATTTTGAATCCGTGGCCAGCATTGACTATGAGACAGGGAGGGAGGAAAGGATAGGGGAGGGAAGGAGGGAAGGGGAGAGAAGTGACTTCAAAAGCAAAGGCTGAGGCAGGAATGACCTTGGCCTGTTGGAGGAGCGTGCTCATGGACCTATGAGGTGGGATCATGGGGCCTCAAGCCTGAACTTTGGCTTGCATCCTGGTTTTCCAAAAGGCCTTAAACAAAAAGCTAAACTTTCAGATCAATAGCAGATGACCTCTCTGAGACACACAAAGAATAAGGAGGCAAGATGGAAAGCAAGGAGTGTGTTCGGAAAGACTCACACCATGGTCAGAGCTGGTGGGGCTTCTCTGGGGTAGCAGACAGGAAAGTTTCAGAATGGAATGTGGGGTTCACAGAAGACCTCTCTATGTGAGATCTGAATGGGTAAAATAACATAGACATCCCATCTCCAGAAAGATGATTCCGTAGAACTAGGGTGCTTTGGTTTAGAAAAGTAGTAAAAACAGAAAAAAAAAAACCAAAAAGCAAAAGAGTGGATGATGGAAATCCAGGTGCAGAGACTTCATTGGCCTTTTCTGATCAGGATGAGGCATGAGATAAAGAAAATGGAGTGGCTTCAGTGTCAAGGAAAGAAACAGAGAAAGATCCAAACAGGTTGCTTCCTTGGTCCACTGGGAAGAATTATCTGGTTTCAGGACAGGAGGCTACGTCTGAGAGGACCACTCACAGCAACACTGAGGGTGAAGATGATGTGATCCTCTTCATGGGGCTTACCCACTGCCGGTGTGCGGGATGTGCAGTGGGGAGTAGGGGTCTTGCAGTAACACTCCTGCACAGCCTGTGTGGAAGAAAACAGAGAACTCTGTTACTTCAGCATGGTGGAGACATTAACACCCAAACAGAAGGCTTCTGGACCTCCTTGTATCCTGGTTCAGGGAAAAAGATACCTTGTAACCTTCCTGATGAGCTATCTGGAAGAAACTGCATCTGATACTTCCAGGAGCACAGACGTCTACCACTCCCTCTTTGGAACTGTGAAAGGCTTGCAAGCTCTTCCCCTCTGTCTTAGCCATTCTAGTGATTTTCTTAAAGTTTCTAAGCATCAGGTCCTCCTCTAAGTGAGAGGTAAAATAGTCTCACACACAATGCAGCGTCCGTTCCAGGCACCACTACGGAAATTCCGTTGGTGCTCATCACAAAACTCTTCTGACCTTGATGTCAAAATGTAGTTGAGAATTGTTCAGAATGACTTTTTTAAAATCAATTTTTGTGGAGTTTGTGAATTTTACCAGATATTCTTCACTTACTTAACACTTCAAAACTTGACAGAGGGACCATCAATGGTTCAGCAGGTAAAGGTGCTTGCTGCCA